GACCTACATGGTATTTGAGACTTTAATAAAGGGCTGGAATACAGATGCTAATAACATGACATGAGTCAGTGTAAAAATGTTAATGCTGTTCTACGAGGGCAGAGGTTCTAGCGTAGTGACAGGAGCTATGGTTGCCCATTGTCTCTGAAAGTTGGTCACAAGATGTGTCAAACCGGGTCCCGAAATATCAGTAGCTTCTTTTGAAAATGTTGGCCCAAATGGCTGTACGCAAGTAAGTCATTTGCAGAAGCAGAAATCGTATTGTAGTTCATGCATCCCAGTCCTGCTTTTGGACAATGCTATCTTTGTGTGATGCTGGATTACATGCGCATTGTAACGTAGTATGGTACTCGAGGACTTAAAGATAAGAAAATCATCAGTGATCACTATAGTGTTAAATCAAGGTACTTCTTTAAAAGTAAAATCATATATTTTTATAAGAAAAATGTTTTTTTAAATGTTGAATTGAGGCCAGGTTCAAATAAAGACAACAAATGTCTTATTTGAATGCTTATTTGAATATCTATTTGAACATTAGTATTGCAGAATTCATTATTTGAATGTATTTGACAGTGAAGCTAGTGAGAGAAAGAGCTCTGTTACCTCACTGTGATCATCCTCATTAGCACTGTGATACCCCTGCCTCCACTCATGAAGGATTAATCTGTTTGTCCTTTTTCCCCTTTGTTAAGCTGCCCACCACTATGTTCTTTGGGACATACCTTTACGTATGATTGTATGTGTAATACATATCAATAATAAGTTTTATCAGTAATAAACTGACATTTCCTCTCATCAGCCTTTATCTAAACCAATGATTCTCAACCAGGGTGCCATGGTACCCTGGGTTGGCTTGAGATCCTTTCACAGGTGCCATATGGTGCCACATAATGTTAGTACTGTTAGGTGTGCAAACATGACTCACAAGATGAATCCCATATATTTTGCAACAGAAAAATTAGTCTTTGCAGCAGAGGAATTTTTCTATTATTTTTCTGTAGTCAAAAAACAACTGAAAATTAAGAGCTAGCATTCTCTAAGGGGTGACTTCAGTTTAAAAAGGGGTTACTGGAGTCCAAAAACATTGAGAACCACTGATCTAAACTAACTTGGTACCATCAGCTTCCTTGTAAATAGTTCACTCCTGCAAGTACTGATACCAGGACTTACAGAAGACAGTGATATACAATATAATGCCTGCATATAATGTGAGTCATATCCTGTTTTAAGTTGTCACAACAATAGATTAAAAGAATATTATTAAATAGCACAAAATGGTACGAAATGCTAAAACTGAAGATACCTGTCCAACTTTAATTCAACCCTCTTGCTGCATATGCACCATGATACTGGCCAGTGGAAATAGGAATATTACTACGACCATCCACATTTTGCCTGAAAGCCTAGTGCAGTGATTCTCAACCAGGGTGCCAACAGATCCTTTGAAGGGTGTCCCAGAAATAAATGAGGTGCAATGAGAAAAGCAGGTAAGTACAGGCTCAGGTTTGTACTTGCCTTGCTGATCCCCTACTCCCATTGTCCAGTGCCTCTGCAAGGAGGTAAGCACTGTAATACATAAATTCATTTTTTAAACTGGATACCACTCACTTCATAAAAGCTATAGAGGGGTGCCTTAAGTCCAATAAGCTTAAGAACCACTGGCCTAGCTATTACAGCATTTGCATCAGAAGTGTGAGACTTAAATTCTAAGCCTTCTTAAACCTGCGTTGTTTAAAGCCACAACTCCCCTCACTTCCTGGGAGAGTGCCCTAACCACTGTGCTATAAGATAGGCTTAATGGAAGCACCCTCTACTCCTGCAGCTGAGCCAAGAATGCAAGAGTTATAGGGCCAGGATGAGTAATAAGCAATAGGGAATGAGACTCCATAGTTCAGTGATACAGGGGACAGAGAATTCAGGTTTCTCCACTCCCAGGTGAGTGCCCTAACTACTAGAATACAGAATTAGGGATCCCTTCCTTCATGTTCTCTCTCTGGCCCCATGATCCTAGACTAGAGATTAGCAGCTCCTACAGAAGTAGGAGATAGAGTTTTTAATCTCCTTAGGCTAAGGAGATCCTGGAATTCAGGTCTTCCCCTTTTCAGGTCAAGTATTCTCATCAATAGTCTATCAGGCAAAAGTTGGCCTTCACTACCACCGCCATCATCACCACCATCTTTCTGAGCTGAATTCAGTGTTGTTGGTGTGAGTTCAGCATGCTCTGAGCACACATAATGACTTAGGCCCTTCCATGGACATAGGCCAAGTTAATATACTTCCCCAGCAATATCCTGGATGGCAGAGTAAAGTAAATGGGCACTACGTTCTTATGTGATCAAACTGGATTGCCTTTGATCATTTGCAGAAGCCTAAGTCTAGGCAGTCAGAGAACTTGGCAGTCCAACAAAGAAATGAGAAATGAATTAAGCCACTTAACATGTCTTATGGCTTCTGGGATAGTGCAAGTGAATGTCACTTAATGCTGCCTAAGTCCCATTTGTTGCCTATGAAACCCATCTGGATCTGGTACAGAGGGCACAGCCAGTTTCCCTTAGCATCAGCTTCTCCTCCCTGCCAACTCTGGCTGGTTTCAGAATGGGATGGGAGAGAGGGAGCAGGGGCAGCTCATTCTAGGGGTTCCCCAGCTGGCACTGGAGGGTGGGGTGGGTGAATTGGAGCCTCCTCACCTCTTGGGGGCTCCAAAACATTGGCCCCACCCTCCAGAGGGGCTGAAAAGAAACCCCAAACCAAACCTCCCTCCACTCCCTTTCCCCCATCCTGTTCTGAAAACAGCAGCAGATTGATAGGTCAGTGCAGATGCAAGTTACAAAAGACTCTGTTTTGAAATGTCTACATCTGAACCCTCATACAATGAGGGTTCAAATTTTCACTTGATCAACCATTTTTTAAAGAGTTTGCAGCTCTGCACTTGTGTTTGGTCACAGTTGTAGATAGCTTTCTGTGACCAAACTGGGTGAAAAGTGTCACTTCTGCCTGTACCAAAGAGATTTAAATTAAAATGTATCACTCTATTCCTATTCATTTCTGAAGTGTCTGAATGGTATTTTGACATCTAAATACAATCCTATTCCACGCTGCTCAGTTAACTAATATCATCTAACAATCTTTAACTTGTAATCGAGATGAGATCTTCAATAGCTCTAGTGATAATAAGGGAATACAACTATTCGATGGAAAGAAACTATACTTAACCAAAGAGTAATGTTATTACCAGCTGTGAAACCACACCAAGCAATCTAGGCTCAAGAAGTTAAGTGACTGCCTGACAATTAGGTCATATCTCTGCCATCAACATCCAATAAATGCTTGGATCTATCTAATCTATCTTTTACATTCTATTTATTAATAGCAATAAAACAAAACAGACAGTACATTTCTAGTGATTGGAAGAGGATCTCTAGGCTGTGTGCTTAAACTAGTTCCAGTTTTATTTCTGAATCTCAGGCATATACACACACACTGAGAACTGTCAATCTATAATTGGCTGTTAATGTCAGTCAAGCTTAACTACTGCAGCATAACAAGTCATTTTAATTAGAGAAGCGCTTGAGCACAAAGTCTGGATCTACATGAGGTTTAGCTCTAGATCTGAATTCTGCAAAAGGGGTGCTTGGCTCCAGGATGTTTCAGTTTCATTTAATCCATGTTTTTTTTTACTACAGCTATTTTACTCTCTCTCAAACTTTGTTTTGTGAATGACTAATAACAGCATCATCCCTGTTTTAAGAAACAGAGTGAAGTAACAGAATGACTCACTCTTTGCTAAATGGTTTCTTTCCTTGGCCATAATCCAAACCTTACACAACACAGTTTATCATTTTTTGTACTGAGCTGGTCATATGAGAGTATGAAACTATGTTCATCTCTCTGAAGTTATTTTATATCATTGTCTTCTAGAACCACTGTATTCTATCCCCCATATTTTCCAAGTAATCCTGTATACTTTGTTGCAATGAAAGCATGTTATTTATTTACAACTGTTTAGCAATTTTGTTTTGAGCACATAAGCTCAATGTTTAGCTGAGCTGTATGATGCTTTGCTTATTCTTTCACAGCTCTGTCTCTTTTTTGTTTTTAGGGCTATGGCTAGGATGTATCCTTCTTAAATTGAGGGTGTGAACAAATGAACAGTATGCTACAGATTAGAAAGGCAGTTGCTGCAGAGCAGATGATGCATGATAAAACCCCACCTCTGTTATCCCATGATAAATTGTTCATATGTCCATTCCATTCAGGGCCGTCCCGGGGGGGCAAATCAGGGTGGCTGCCCCGGGCCTG